CTTGTAATCTTAATTTCAGCCTCATAGCAAACTAGACACTCCATAGCTGCTCCGCTCCTATGCCAACGAAAAACAAGCAGAATGTCCATCACTGCCTCTGGCGACAAAATTGACTCAGACTGCAGTCTCTGTAAATTCATTAGTGATTAGTAATGAGTGATTAGTGATTAGAAAGGATTATCATCAGAGCACTCCAGAGAGATCCATAGGTGCTCCGATCTGCCCCTCAAAAGCTCCACAAGTGTAAAAGTCTGATGACGCCTGTTCTGTTTTGGTTAATAGAATGTCTTGTCCCCTTAGTTAAATGTTCATTTCTTGCAGCTTCAGTCTGCACCTCCATGTCCATCAGTCTAGACGGGGATATGGAGTCATGTCCTTTGGCGTGCTCCTGGGTACGGTGAGCGCAGCGCATGGCATATACACTAGTATACGCACGAATTAAAAGCATAAGAGAGCTGTCCATAATGCTAACACAAATAGTCCGACATTAGATATGCAGTTCAGTATCGACGGAACAGCAGCTGCAACAACAAAAAATCATTAGACTCACAGGCGATTAATTTTAGCCACATAAGGCACAACCACTTCTGTGGCAACAGGTAACTTGCTTTTTTTAAATCTACAATATCACGTTAATTACAGTCAAATATTCAGAATAAATCGGCAGCTCACAGTGTTGCGCCGTGCACTCAGTTCAGTAGCTGGGCGACAAAACTATATTTTTTTTTCAATCTACATATGGAGAAAAATGCAGCGGCCACCGTCTTTTGAAAGCAAAACTTCACCACGACTAGAAACAGTGAACGTGCCTTTCCTCCATGTTGACTGGATGTAGCCCTTTGCTAATCAAGTATATGCTGTCAGACCCTTATCTGCATAGACCGATCGGCACTTCTTCTTTTTCTGATTTCTATCCCTAAATAGACCGTACGTCCTCAACAAACTCACGTCGTTCTATCCTTCGCTATTGAGCGCAGCTCTCCCCGTGTCCTACCCATCTTCTTCACTCTCGAGTTCCTTTCTCCGTGTGTGTCTTTTTTTTTTTTTTTATTACTTTATTTCTCTGCCCCTGTTGGTTCCAGCACAAAGACATTCTAGTTATATTATTCTCCGTTTTTTTCATCGTGTATCCTATCCAACGTCAGCGTCTTTTCACCGCTAGTTCACTTCCAAAGCTCTACATTAGTGATTAGCGCAGGCACCAGTTAATAAATGTTTGTAGTTTTTTAGTAATTGTCTGAGTTGTTCTCTATGTTTCCGCTCCATACAACAATACTGATTTGACATTGGAATCACAAATTCTATGTTTAGTATTAGTTTTCATTTCTTTTGACCTCCACAAATTTGCCATGAAAGATCCTCTTGCCTTTCACATTTGTATTTGAAAATCTCTATCAGTTCTAGAAACTTTTACTACCTGTGATATTTCTTAGTACTCGCATCTGGGAGCCGCTGTGGTGTAGCGGCTAGACGCTTGCTTTGGGATCTGACCGTCATGTGTTCAGACCCTGATAGAGCTGGACTTTTTTTTCATAAATGACCTTTGGTAGACACAGCCTTAAATAGGTACCAGCTAAAAGGCATGGGAATTAAAGGTGGCCGGCGTGATGCTGACCACATTACCCACCAAGTGCCGATTAGTCAATAAAATATTGGTCTAGCCCTATATGCCCAATACGCCTGAAGTCGTGGAGAAGGGTTCCTTACTTTTACTTTAAATAATATGAAGTGCATGAACAAATATATTTATAAGACCTGCCTGAAGAACCAGAAATGTAAATGAGCTATGAAGTTAGAGGTAAAGACACTCCCCTCTTGTACAACAAAGACTTCGTCAAAGTTCCGAAAACATTGACACGAAACACAAAAACCCAGTTGTATAACTGGTTGTATTGTCTGTGTATTCAGCAATCAGCCAGGATCCCCTGTGAATTGCTTGTGCAAATATTCTCTCCACGCCAGCGAACTGACTTTAGTGATGTGCCAACGATGGTCAATTTAGATTGGCACCAAAGTAAACTCCTTCGTTTGCACCTGTCAGCATTTCTCAGGGCCACATGGCTACGCCTCGCTCAAGGCCGAAGAACCCCCACAGATATTGTTATCTTTTTTATTTTTTATTGTCATGTCTGGGAGCGAAGACCAAACAAACTGTGCCCTCTCCACTGTACCTGCCTAGCAAAGAAATACAATCCACAATGAAAGGGAGGAGGAGAGAGAGAGATTATCTCGTGGCCTTTGGCTACTGTTGGCGACCTTACCCTTGAGCGAGGCCAAAGAACATGTCTGCCCTGCACCATTTAATCCGCGCACTGGGTTATCCTTCGGTTAGTTTCTCTGCCAACCTGGCTCAGAGTTGCTCGCTGTCAGCTCAAATTCCTAGTCCAAGGACTGGCATGAGCGAAATCTTCTATTAGTATTGTTTAGTATAAGACGCTGGATCGTCAGATCGCATCAGTCATACTGCCTCCTATAGAAGAGGCATCAGCAACGATTTGAACAGAAGTCTCTATTACCAACAAAAAAAGTGTTTATTTCTTATCAAAAACTGAATGTCTGAAGGTATAATTCTAGCAACAATTCTGGATTAACCATTTCGCAGTTCAACGTTCGGGAAAGTATGTAATGTAATGCCATTATATTTTAATTAACTAGTAGGCTAATTGTGTTTGTGTAATTTACAGCAAGCAGGTAGTTTAGTGCTCGGTTTGTTTATTCTGTGTATTTAATTAGTTGTTTCGTTAAAACATAGCCAAGATTGTGCACAATTGTATGTTCCCACATATACTTAACGTTATCTTGTGCTACATGAAGACAAGGTTGCTAAATTGTTTTGTCACTACCGCTTTTTCCACCGGCAATAGACCAGCTTATGTTTGGTTTAGAAGACAGATCAACATCATGATACATGAATTTGGAGTTAAAATTCTTACGAAAGTATTTCAGGATCATGGCCGGTGCTAAGGAGTTGGTGCACAGCGCTGTGTTTCTTCGGACTCAAGCTTGAGTCAGAAGTAGAACGGAACACTTTTGCCATGATGTTGATCTGTCGTCTAAACCTCTAAAACGTCTACAAGAGCATCATTGTGTCAATTCTTCTTTATGGAGCACAATGCTGGAGAATGACATTTTTGGTGCGCACAAGCTATCCGTCTTCCACCAAATATGTGTACGTAGAATTATCAACGTTTTTTAACCAGATACAATTTCAAACACTAAACTACTTCAAGTCACAAGCCAAGAAACTCTCAACAGTATGATAACAAAGAGAAGATGGAAATTTCCTGGCCACGTCATAAGAAATGGTAATGATGTTGGTGATGATTGTGGTGACAAAGATGATGATGATGATGATGGTGACGTTGAAGAGCTAAACATATGCAGACATAAAATTCAGAGATAATTGTTAAATTTCCTTGCCAAGCCTCCGACGATTTAAAAAAAACAGTTTCTATGCATCACCAAGTTGATAATGGTTGATCGTTGAAATCTGCTTTGTCATTGGCCTTTAGGACATGCATGACACTTGAGAGCGCTGGAGGTCATAAAAATGGAGGCTGTGTCATGGTTGCCCTGCAGGGAATGTTGGAATGCAACCTGCAGACGAGGACAGACATATAAGAGACGCGACAGATAGTGTGGCGGTACAAATTCTACTTGTAGACGGCTTCGCTATGCTTGTTAACATTTTGAGCTTTGTCTTCATGAAGTTATGGAGGTCATTGACCGGTATGTCGTTGGCTGCATTATATATAGTATCGGGCTTGTGGTGGTTTCGACAAGACAAATGAGTCTTTTTATTCACGCCAGTGGCGTATCGGTCCTTGATAGGTGATGCCATCAACATCTATCCGGCTGCATTTACTTCCCAGATAGGTAATACTCCTTCTTCTCATTCACCGGCTGTAAACTCATGGGAAAACTATGGTTATTCATCCACGTCTAGTTTTGTTCAAGAACTTGAGTTCTGCGTGCACATACATTATACGGATCTGGCTTTTTTTGTGTCCGGGCTGTTGGTTCCTCGCATCTGTTAGAAGCACTCCGACTTTAAAAGAAAGATTTCTAATTAGTTACTTTTTACTACCTTAGGGCAGTGGATACATTTTTTGCTGCCCAAAATGGGGCCCTGGAATAAACACTGGGAAAACAGTAAGGTATAAATGAACTGGAATCTGAGATTTGCTGCTATCGTTTTACCATCTAGAATCTGACTGTTGAGGTTTTGAGTGTGTTCAAACTTTCGGGAGAAACCCGCAGGAGAAAAATCGGTGTTTTATTAATATCCTACCCCAAACAGGGAAAATCCACAGGTCACGGAACAGTCTAATATTTCAGGGGGTTGTAGATAGGCTGCATGCAGTCGTAGGGCCTAGGCTGCACTCTCTAGTGGGACATCGGTGGGTTAGGGCCAGTTCTAGATGTTTCAGGGTCGTTAAAAACATCAGAAAGCCTGGAAAGGCAGTCTTACCACCCTCTGAAATGTTCGACTGTCCTGTGACGTTAGCTGGGGTAGGATATCACGAAAGAACCTTTAGATAGACCGTTTGTCTGCCGCCGGTTATAGGGCAGAAAGTGTTAACTTGCTGCACTGTAAACTTCACCAGTTTTTTTAAATGGGACATTGAGGGACATTTCATTTGATTTTTCACTGGCACCGGAACGGAGCAAGTTTGGGAAAACCCGACTGCAATAAAGTTGAAACCTCGGCTAAGACTAAGTAGTAGCTGTTCAGTTTCTTCTTCTTATGTGTGTGCTGTGTGGTTGGCAGGTTGTGCTTACACATGAGTTGCGATGTACCTTCCTTTCGGCATAATGCATATAATTTCAGAAACTCCTTAATTACGATACCTTGTTCAATAGTATTGGATCTAACTCCCACAGCCCCCCAAAAAATGGACTACCAATTTCCACACCTCTGATTGTTTAATTTGATAATATCTTGTTAACTGTCAATTGTTTTACATTTTCAGACAGGATCTATAACTCATAAACGTCAAATGGCGCTCAGTACGACCTCGGAAGCTCATCAATCCATTTGCTGGAGAGAAGCCCGTCCGTGCCCTATGAGTGATGCCTCCTCAGACCAGAAGCTGTCGTGCCAGGCTTGGTTCCACTGCGAAGTGGCCGGAGACTACGTCATCAAATGGAAATGTCATTCATTGGAAGAGGTGGAGCATAACACCACTAGCCCGGCCCTGTCTTTGTGTTCAAACCAATCAGATGCTAAAGAATTATTGGATTGCCCGCCCCCAGTAGTCTGTGCTGACGATCCTTATCTTGACCATGTGCATATGGTAGGTTATCTCTGCTTTCTTCGTGATGTGTGATACTATCAAATATATGTTTTCCACATTGACCACTTCTTCTTCTTCTTCTTCTTCACTTCCTCTTTTACCGCTGTGGGTGTCGAGGGAGATATAAGGTTCTGTTTCTAGCTCTTCTGGCTGCCTCGACCATAGGCACATCGTGCTGTTGACCACAAAACCATAAATATGATAAACCATACACGTTAAATTGTAACTGTAATGATGATAATAATGATGTTGAGGATGATAATAATAATGATGTTCAATACAGTTGGTGATTGTTGTAGAGTGATGTTGGCATCGATGACTGAGCTAACGATGATGAGCATGAAGCTGGCACATATGAAATTGATTAAAATGATGATGAGGATAATAATAACGTTGATGAGTATGGTTGTGATGTTGATGATGATGATGAGGAGGAGGAGGAGGATAGTAATGTGGACGACGAAAATAATCGCAATGACGATAATTTTGATGACGATGATGGTGGTAGTAGTGGTGGTGGATGAATGTCATACACTGATCGTGGTATTAACGTTGATGAGATTTACGCAAATATTTGCCCCTACAGAAATCCAGTGACGTGTCCACAGATGTCATTCTCGCCGTGGCTGTCTCCATCTTTGCCCTGCTGGCTATGCTGCTCATCGTGGTGTCATCTTACAAGTACTGGAGGCTGCGCAAAAGGTAACTCGATCGACGATATCGTCACACGTTATCCCATTGATGATGTATAATAAAATAAATGGCTATAATTGGTGTGCATGCTTCGTCTTTGCAGACAACTGTGCTCTATTGTACCACAGTGAGACATGTCAAGTCACACACACACACACACAAAAACTCTAGACATTATGATAACCAGGACAAGATGGAAATGGCTTTGCCACGTTATCAGAATGAATCCTGATATACCTGCCAAAGCACCTCTCACTTGGACACCAGAGGGAAAGAGAAAGAAGGAACGCCTAAAAACAACACGGAGACGAACGACGGAAAGTGAACTGAGTCCTGCATCTCTGACATGGAAAACTGCAATGAAGATTGTCCCAGACAGGAAGGAATGGAAAGTCCTCTGTGCCACTAGGCATAAGGAGAAGTGTATAGGGAGGCAAAATAATCCTAACCAATAGTGATATCAGTTGACGATAGGTATGAAGTTCCTCCTCGGCATATCACAAAACTAGTCATTATTATACAGAATATGTTGCTTTTGCATCTAATCCCTCCATTGGTCTGTTTTCTTAACTTTAGAAGTATAATATTATTGTGGCACCTTTCCGTATTTCTAGAGGATAGTGTTATGTTGCGCTATGAGGATGCATGGGACTGACAGCCCATGGCGATGGCGAGTGTGACTAACAAGACCAGCCTACGTTAATAAAAGTCTTCTACAATTATAACATATGATTTCAGGACCGTTGTTGTCAACATTTTGTTTACTCTGTTTGTTTTTTTCTCCTTCAGAGGCTCAGCTCTCATCCCTTATGTAATCATTTCTTCCTTCGTCCTTACTCCCTTCCCTGTGTACTCCCTTCCCTGTGTACTCCCTTCCCTGTGTACTCCCTTCCTGTGTACTCCCTTCCCTGTGTACTCCCTCCACCGAAAAAGATCCAATGCATTTTGTTCTCACGAATTCACATCAATATCTGTATCATTCATGTTCCGCTTTTGCGCAGCCTTTTATCTTGTACAGATCGGTTTCGACATCTTCTACCGACTTTAACTCACCACACATGATGTCCTTAGGTGCTATGGTATCCCCCATTCTTCATGTGTATCCCAGCAACCTGAGCTTTCGTAGACTGAGCATTAGGAAGACTACTCCAAAGAAGCACAAAAAATAGCACCAATTTGTTTGGAACAATGCATGCAGCAGAATCTACTGTGCAAGAAGAGACGTGCTCTTTCTGTCTGTCTGCCGAATCTTTCCTTCCAGATCAGCTAGCTGCCAAGCAATGTTAAGTGTCTGGTCAGTCCAGCTTTAATATTACGATTTTAGGTTGAATGTCATAGTCCTAAGATAAGATCAGGCTGGAATCATCTCCACTGCTCTTCTCAACCCTCAGTGGTTGGCACAAGTGTTGTGTCAGGTTGACAGAGAACAAAGAACAGTAACATTTGACTGAGCTACCGTTTAACAATAGTCGGTATTTTGTTTAGCTAATGAGAGATATTTTGTTTAGCTAGTGAGAGATTCATGGTTGTATATGCAGAATGGGACAAGGATCGAACAAGCATATATTTAATTGTGGTTTAAGCGCAAAGTGCTCTTGAGAAATTCCGTTTTCTTTTCCCTCCACCCAACGTATTTGCTCAAGAATAAAACGTCTTTCCTGATATTGCAGAGTCAGCCAGAAAATGATGCCTCACCAGTACATGGTTCGGGAATTCCCATACCCAGTGCGATATCACAACCTCTGGGGAAGTGGTTCTCAGTTCTACGACAACCCGAGTGCCAAGAACCTCCAGCCAACCAAAGCATACGGCAATCCCCACCATGACGTAAGTGTTTGACGGCTTTCTTGTTCTCTGGCATTTTGTTTATTATTTAAAAATTCATCATCATCATGTGCCGTGCCGATAAGCGTAGGCTCTCATGTTTCGCCATCTCGCACGACACGATCACCAGAACCACGGATCGGTTCAGTGCTTTTTTCTCGCCCCAGCCACTTTTCCAACCAGCTTAGACATTTAATATCTTTGACTTCCTCTTGCTGTCTTTTCTTCAATCTTGCCAGTTGCTACCAAGTTCTCTAGTCCATTCCTTGTCGTAACATGGCGCCCCCCCCCCCCCCCCCCCCCCAAATAAACATTGACCCTCTTCGTCTAATTGTTCTTATAGGTTTACGACTTTCGTCTGTCTCCGCGAAAACTGCTTCATTTGTTTTTGATATCCTTCCATTTATTATCTACCTTTTCCTAAACTTGATTTATTTCCACGTCTTCAGGTGTACTGGGCATATAGGGCTAGACCAATCGGCATTCAATGGATGATGTGGTCAACATCACGAAGGCCGCCTTTACTTCACAAGAATTTACCTGATATCCATTTAAGAATGGGTCGACCTGGAATCTATAGTTTTTTGTTTTTTTTTGTAACTCCTGCTCGGTTCGGATTTGAACCTACGACCTTCGGATGAGAAAGCCAGCCCGCTGATAAAAACGTTGCAGAACCTCCGTTTCTCCAGCTACAACCTAAAGGAATAGCAGAGTAAAGTAAACGAGACTTTACTATTCCTTCTGGCGAATTAGGCATTTAGCGTTAGACCTATACTTCAAAGAGCAGTTGCTGATGTGGTCAACACGACGCCGGCCGCCTTTACATCCCATCACTTTACCTGGTACCCATTTAAGGTAAATCGACCTGGAAGTTATAGGGATTTTTTTTTTAAATGTCCGGCTTCCACAGGACCCAATCCGCGACCTTCCGATTAGCAAGCGAGGGTGTCTTTATCGGTGCTCCCTAGTTTGTCCTGCTGCGCCTCTCATGCGGATCCGATTTCTTCCACCTGACTGACAAGGTTCAGCTTTACATAACCCTTCTGGACTACAGCTTACTTCGCAACCGCTGCCCCCATATAACTATGCTATATAACTATACAACATCATTTCTCGGAAACTCAAATATTTTAAAAATAAAAAGTAATAGCAGAAGGCATGGTACCAGGAATGTTAAATGTTGAATTAAAGAATCGACATCACAGCACCGGGACACTCCCTTAAGTGCTCCGTCCCCATCTTCATCAACAGCAAGCCAAGAGTTCCAATTCCGATGGTACCAGTAACCGTCTGATTGTATATCCGTCTCAACCTTCCCCTGAGTGTTGAGCGTCGGCCAGATCCCCTGGTAACTCCTCGCAGCGCCATTCTCCTTAGACCGTAATGATCTATTTGCGCCTCCGCACTGTTTATTTACTCCCAAAGAGACTTCACAATATCTAACTTGTCATACATCAGTTCACCACCAAGTGGTGTAAAGCCAGCCAGTCTATCTGCCTGCTCATTTCCCAACACACTGGCACACCCTGGATAAAATATCCAAAGGATGCTAACTACCCGGGATGCTTGCCACTCTGCACGAATCATTTGTTGAAATTCTGTTTTTGCAGCACCAGCTGGCCAATCTCTGCATTCACGACCTAAAGTTATTAGAACCCTACACAAGTCTGAAACTTGTTCGGACTTGACCCACTCCTCTCCTCGCTCAAAATTATCAAGCCTGCACACATGTACTAGGAAAGAGAGCCGGTGGGGGTTACGGGTGCGGGGTGGGGGGGGGTGCAGTAGGAACGTGGACACAAGATATAAGTGACATCTTGGGTAGGAATGCGGACGGGGCGGCAGAGCTGGCGAGAAAGCGAGTTTCTTTAAGGCAGACCGTGATGAGAGCGACGTTCTCCAAAGGATCTATTGACTGGTGACGAAGATGATGATGATATACCCACGCGGTTGAACCGGGTTTCCCGGATTTGTATAGGTTTAAACCTCATCCTTGAGATGTTGTTCTTCCCACAGACTGCAATCCTGGGGTTGGGCAGAAAGGGGAGAAAACAGAATAGATATGTAGATAAACAGACAAATAAAACATCGGTTACACTTCAACTTCTTAAGAGCACTTTGTTTGCACTGAAACCACAATTGAAAAATCGCTTGTTCGCTCCTTGTCCCATTCTGCATATACAACCACGCATCTCTCACTAGCTAAACAAAATGGTTGATTAATTTTTGTCAGCGGATCTAGTTAGTTGTGTAGTTAGATATAAATCTGGAAACTATAACTTAAATAGTGAAACGTAAAAAGTGTAACCTCTTTAGTGGTCTTATACATTTTACGAGGCAGGACATTGGTGGGAGCTGCTTAATACTGTTTAAGTGCGCAATAATAATTATAATTTTCTAAGTAGGGCCCTGGACAACATTTTTATGGTAAGCACGAACTGACCGATTGACCCTTCTGCAAGCAAATTGTAAAAGTGAATATTTAAAAGCACTTGCAGAAATAGGTCGTGTTGGACCGAAAGGCGCAAATATCACAGGCTACCTTTAAACAAGTCAGCTTGCCAACCGTTATTTTCCAACCGAACGTAGATTATTATTACTATTTTGGGTTCTTAATTTATAACGTACCCCAAACACGAAATCCCCGTGGGAAATCCACAGCTGACCTGACAGTCCATTATTTCAAGGGGTGCAAGTGTGCTGTTGTTTTTTTTTTTTTTTTTTTTTTTTTTTTTAGTGTTCATCTAGTGTCTTCTAATCCTAACCCTAACCCTAACCCTAACCCAAACCCTAACCCTAACCCTAACCCTAAACTTGGCTGTAGAGAAATCGCGAGAAACTACAACCTGAACACTCTAGAAATTATTGGGAATGTCTCCCGTGACGTTGTCGTGACGTCAGGGGTAAGTTATAAATTAAGTACCCTATTTTGTGCTGCTGTGCATAGAAATATAATAATACATTTGAAATAAAATGAAACGTAAAAACAAATACTCAAGAAGAGATCATATATATATATATGCTTAGGGGAAACAACCTACCGCCCACCCCCCACTCCCCCCCCCCTTTTTTTTTTAAAAATTCTATAAGACGGGAGAGCCCGACCTTACGAAAGCAAAACAAAAAGTCTCGGCGCCACTGGATGCTACATATTTAAATTCCCTATTGCCAGACACGATGTTCATCAAAACTCCCCAATGCAAGCCGACGAGTTAAAATTATCGGCACGAAATTATATTTTCTTTTCTTTTAGTATGAAATAACATACTAGTAACTTCAATGTTTTCTACAGGTGTACTTCTCGCGGCCCCAAGCGTCGTCTAGCTACTTGGAACAACTTCTCTCACCAGCAGACGATTTCATTGACAGTAAAAAGGAATATGGCGGGTCTGAACTGAGCACACCAACCCGCCTGTTTCCTCCAACGGGAAAGTTCGTTGCTGATCCATCAGTTGCCACTGGCAGCTTTGTCTTTCACCAACCGCTTGGAGGCGCTGGTCTGGTTGGTTTCAACAATAAAGTGGAGAGCTGGGTTCATCAAAACAAGATCAACAAAGAAAAAGAAGAGAAATCCGAAAGTGTAGAATATTACCATATATATAAAGGAAACATAAAGCAAAACATCAAGCAGGAAAGGCAGCAGTCACCAAAGAAGAGCGTAGATTACAAGAAAGAATACACTTGCTTGCAGAATAGTAGTCCAGACTTTAGTCGGATGCCACAGGTCTCGTCCATCGCTATTCCATCGTTTGAAATCAGCGGCTTGCAGAATACTATGGCCCAGCATGAGTATTTGAATGCTGATCTTCGTATGCAAGAGGAAGTGAGCCAGCAGTTCCTCAAGAAGAGGAACTGCGAGACTGGAAGTGTACAAGAGACAATGTCGCATTATGCCCTGGGGTTTGTCACTCGCTCTGGAAATCAACACTTTCAAGTTAGTCATGAGGGTCATAATAATAATCAACATTATCAGAGTGTCTCGCCCAAGTTCGTTAATGTGGGTACATCCCACCCTAGTCCTGATGTGATCAGTAGCCACAACTTCTCAAATAAGTTCGTTAGAGTTGGCAAAAACGTCTACAGGCCCCTGCTGAGCAAGAGCTCCAGTGGAAGCAGCATCAACATGCACAGTGGAAACAACGACAACATCGACTTGAGCTATGACAGCTTCAGGAACGAACACATCCGGGAACTTGCCAAACGCGGAGCAGCTTCTAGCAGTACTCTCGAAGCTGGCTACAGACAGAAAGGTCATGGTAAATCTACAGGGGTCACTTGTCGCTACTAAAATGTTGACAATAAAACTTAAAAGACAGATAAGAAATGTGTGTACTTCTGACCTTCACCCATATAGGAAAGAAGGGACGCCACAGTAGTTCGTGGTGTATTGGTGGGATCCCTAGTTATAACCAGTTCAAAAGATTTGAATAGGGATTGTGAGAATTGTTCCTGTTGTATTTACAGCCGAAAAAGTAATCATTGGTTGGATATGATGCTGAACCGTCAGGTGGCAGATTGTCAAGTGACAATCGGTTCATCATTTGTCGAGTCGATCTTCTCAAGTTGATGCCTACGACTATCGTAGCCAGCTGAAACTGACAAAGACTTCAATGTGCCTTACATATTCAGCAGCTCTGACGAATGTGGTCTCCAGATCATTTGACTCCATAGATAGGATACTCGGATAAACTATTTTACTTTTCACTAAATGGTTAAAGGTGCAGGTCTAAAAGGTTAGAGTAGGAAAATGTGGAGCTCGTAATGCGAAATAACTCTGTGTTTACATTGCGAGACACAACACAGAGGATTACCGCAGCCAAATGCTTCGTGCATCAAAAGTAATGGGGACCTCTTGTCATCCTGTGCAATTCTTGAGAACGCTAACAAGTGGTAAAGTTCCTGAAGAACTCGGATGTGTCAGCCAGAAAGTGCAAATATCACAGCCATGCTGTAAGCAGGCACAATGCAATTACGTCCTCGTGTGGACGCAGATGAAGAAGATGAAGGTGAGACTCCACTTTTGAGTATGGAGGGGACTGATAAGGTTGAAACGAGCCTACAAGGTCCCTGGGTAGTGTTGAGGAAAGACGAGAGACCAGCTAAAGGAGGAATTTGCCACATTGACATTTCTCGTTCTTCAGGCTGCTTTGCTGGAGCGATCTTTGCTGATTCACTACATCACGATAGATCTCCTTTTACCATACGCTTGGAATGTAATTTAATGCCAATATTTTATCATGTACATATATTACACACGATACGCAATCGCATTGTGTGAATGACAATGGTTCCCCAAACAAAAGGACTTCTGGATTTCAAAGTCTATTTGGCTGATAATGGCTAGAAACAACGCTTACGTTGTGCAGCCGTATAAGCCTTTGCTATATTTATGCTACCTGTATAAGTGGTTGCAAATAAAAACCGCTACAGTTTGATAGACATTACAGTTGCCATGCTATTGTCTGGTAGCTTGTCAATATTGTTGTTCAGGATGCCAAGAGTGTTAAGCACTCATGTGCTTAACTCATGTGTACAAACACAGTGACGTCATGAGGATAGTTAACAATATTGCCCCACTTTTGACATGAACCACAGAGAAGCCACATTTTGTTATTCAGCGGCGAGTAAACGTCAAGTATGGTGTTGTATGCCTGCCAGTCCAGCACACCCCTTGCCCCGCCCCCGCCACCCTTTCAGTGTTTTCTGAGAACGTGCCTCGGAGTATATCAGATATACAGTTTACGAACTTTGTCACAGCAGCTGTTGCTGTTTAAATGTTATACCTGACGTTATTGTAAACTATGAGATGTATTTTTCTTGGTGCACTGTTGCATATAATTTAAAATAACACTGTAATAGATCCCTAATAGAACGTCACTTGGTGCTTTATTATTATCCTACCCCAGATGACATCACAGGACAGTCTAACATTTTAGAGGGTGGTACGACTAGGTTTCCCGGCGCTCTGGTGCTTTTAACGACCCCAAAACATCTAAAACTGGCTCTAACCTCAACACACCTACGTTCCACGAGAGAGTGCAGCCTAGGTCCCACGACTGCATGCAGCCTATCTACCACCCCTTGAAATGGTAGACTGTCCCGTGACCCGTGGATTTTCCCTGTTTGGGGTAGGATATTATTAACTCTTTGAGTCTCAATGAACGCATCATACGTTTATAGATTCCTACCTAGTGGCCAAATGAGCGCATGATGCACCGATTTTACGTCTCTCTTGACTACCCCTTGGGCATGTGATGCTAAACCCCCTGGGACTCAAAGAGTTAAAGCACCCGTCGCTCTCCTCATAGCCTGCGTATAGTTACTCGGTTTCTCGCTGTATCTTCCTTCTCGTGCACCTTTCTATCCAAGGGTCTCTTAAATGCTGTATCCAGCTTCATGCTAGTCGGCACCTGCCACTTCCTCCTGTTACCAGGCTTTCTACCACCGTTTTTCCTCAGTCCATTGTTGAATGTTTAATTAACAAGCGACATCATTGAACTCTATAAGTGCTCTGTCCCCATCGTCATAATGAAAGAGGGGATTATCTGGCTATAACAGCGAAAGATACGGGAACACTCGTTTTGGACAAAGGAGATATTCTGAAGACCATATTTGAACGTCTTTTGGCAGAAGACACGAGATTAGAAGAAATAAGATGGGCAAGAATGTGTGAACGAGGAATTAATTGTGGATCCGGCAAGGAGGGACGGCAGAAAGGAAGAGATCGGCTTGTGTATAATCAGTGTGCTACGTGAACAGTTAGCATCTACACCTTACGTCATTTGCTGCTGGGAGACGGAGCACCAATGGGTATGCCCGGTGTGCTAGGATGTCGATTCTTAAATCAGTAATCATCTTCAGCAGCAAGCGAAGAGTTCCAATTATGAAGGTACCAGTTACTCTCTGTACATCCGTCTCGCCTTTCCCTTGAGTGTTGGGCGTCGGCCAGATCCCCTGGTTACACCCCGCAGCGCCATTATCCTTAGACCGAAATTATTTATTTGTGCCTCCACAATGTTCACTCGCTTCCAAAGGGCCCTCACAATATCTAGTTTGGCATATATTAATTCACAAACAAGTAGTGTAGAACAGACCAGTCTATCTGTCTGCTCGTTTCCCAAGACACCAACATGAACCTGGAGAAAATATCCAAAGAACGCCAACTACCCGGGACCTCTGAAGTGATGCTTCACGGAGCATGCCTGTCTCCACCTTTCCCAACGTGCTCTGCCAGTCAACTACGATGACGACATGTGTGTACAGCTAATTCTCAATCCAGTGATAGGCAGCAGAGACTGCCTCCACCTCCATTCTCAAACTAGATATCATATGCCAGGCTTTGTTGCACTAAGCGACGCCCATTCGCTTTTTCTATGACTCCCGTGCACTTCGTCTATTTCTCAACACATGGCCATCTGTATGGATAATCACAACACCTGAGCGTGAATTGTCATGAATTATTTGATAAATTTCTGATTCTGCAGCACCAGCTCCATTGTGGTATTTGATAAAAGCCAATCTCCCTTGATCTTCTGATATTTTAGGATGTCAATATTTCGTGTCTTCTTGGTTCATGGTATTCTGATAATATTTATATTGCATTTCAGCTCAAACACCCGTTTCCCCCCCTTCCTTAGTGGTCGTGAGATAGTCCACGACCCACTTCCGTATGTTGCTACAGGAAAGATGCATGGTCTCAAAATTGTCACTGATTTTCTTGCTGTGCTTAACCATAGACCTTTCATGCTTATAACTGCATCTGTAAATTATGTTACTTGCTGTTCATATTGTACATTGTAACTTGCACATTGTAACTTGTAACTTTACATCCTAGTGATATTTACTGAATTCATGAACTGCCACTTTACGCCATACGTGTAAATTATGTAATTTACAGATGATACTGGTAACTCATGTCATTTGTCTGAACATTGTCATGTATACTGTTAATATCATCATCATCATCATCATCATCATCATCATGTGCCCTGCCAACTAACGTAGGCGCTCATGCGTCTTCACATATCTTGATCCATGGTTACCTGAAACAGCTCTCTTGATGATATCCCTCTATGCCCTCGTTTCAGCCCATCTAGCATCATCTCTCTTGGTCTGCGTTTACCCCTTTTCCCACTGATCTTTCCAGTTGTCACTATGCTCTCCAATGTCTCTCTTCTCATTATGTTGCCAAAGAATACTGTTTATCTCTTTCTTATTGTTGAACGTAGAGATCTTTTTTCATTAGCTTATTTCAAGCAATCGTTGTTAGTTACTCTGGCCGTCCAAGATATTCGTAACATTGGTCTCAGAAACCAGATCTTTGTTGCTTCCAAATTCTTCCTGATTTGTTCACTGACATTCCAAGATTCGCTGCCATACAGGAGAACAGGTTTTATGTAACATTCTACCACTCTCTTTCTGACATTAAATGGGAGCGATTTATCGCATATTTTTCATTTTCTGAAATGTAATGTTGATGTTACTGTTACTGTTAATGTAAAGTTTATTATTTACTAATATTATAAATTATTGATTACTTATGGAAAAACCTTTAAAAAGAACAAATCCATCACACAAGCCACCCGATAAGCGCCCCCCCCTCCCCCTCCCCCCAAAAAAATACAGAAAACTACGACAGTGAGACGACACAAGAAGAAGAATGAGAAAGTGTTACAAATAGTGCTGTTTGTAAAAGTGTTACGTGACAGTAAATTGTAATGATGCTCCTAGTACTTTGTTACATGTACTAGTACTCTTATTGAGCTCAAGGGTTGTGGTAAAAAAAAAAAAAAGTAAAGTAAAGATCCCTTTTCACGCCTTAGGCGCATCGGTTATATGGGCAGAGCGTCCCATATTTTTACAGACCAATCGGCACTCGGTGGGTAATGTGGTCAGCATTACGCCGGCCGTCTTTACTTTCCCAGGACAGCCATCCTGGTACCCATTTTAGGCTGGGTCGACCTGCGACGCCCGATATTACGATAAAAATTAACACAGCCAGCAGTGGGTTTCGATCGCGGTACGGGTTGTGGTACTAGTCTAGTATTTCTATGTACACTGGTTTTCCTCTTCTTCTTTTTCTTCTTCTTTTTCTTTTTGTTCACAGGCAGTAAGCTCGACGGAAAGTCACGACTGTTCATTTGGCTTTAGCTTTGTGCCAGGGTCTGAGTTTGCGTGTACATATGTTTTATTAGCTTGTTTGTGCATAGCTGATTGTTAGTTTCCGCGGTAAATTTTACACTGGTCTCCCCATTTACACACCGCTACACACTAGCTCGCTTCTGATTG